TAAGAGCTAGAGTCACCAAACTTGACATGTAGCTTCTAGAATAGTATATATATATGAAGTATCTTTCATTTTATACCTATCGCCGAGAAATTTTATGGCCGTCCGTTAGATTTCGAGTCTCTTCTTTGCTATTTTCGTCCTGTCACCACTTGTCGGGCTGCACGTGTGCGCTTGCTGCTGACACCCCAGTGGGACTTTGATGTTCCCTTTTCCTACGCTTCAGGCAGCTAACTCTTCAGTTAACGCTGCCTTTTAGGCCCTAAATTCACTCTGGCGGCACTTTCGTGGGCTTTAAGGCCACGTTAATGCCCCGCCCCTTCACACCTAGGGTTCCTGCTCGGGCGCCACTTGTAAAGTAGCTTCTTAGCCGGGGTAATAAAACTCAGTCGTACCGAGTCCACTCTACAAGAAATTTGTAGTTCGCCGAGACGTGAAGCTGAAAGGGGGGTAGAGAGCTGTAGGGATCGCTCCGCCATAGATTGATTAATGTTTTAGGAAAGGGGAAGAGATCCGCAATGAGCTCTCCGCCGCGGCTAGGGTTAGGGTTGATCACCGTGATATGTGCTGCTGGGGTCGTTTCGCTGCTAAGTGAAGAGTTGCTGAAACTAAGTGACTCTTGCTCGACAAAGAATGCAACAAAAACAAGTAAGAGGTTCTAGTCGGGAGCTCCCGACTAGAGGATACCCTGAACCCTCTTCTTCCAACACCAAATGCAGCTCGCGCTACGCGCTCGTTTGCTTAAGTTGAAATAAAGATAAATTTACAAAAAAAACCTTTCCTTGGCAGGGTTCGAACTCGCAATTAATTAGTGCGCCGCCTCTACTCAACAGCCACACCAATTATTGAGTCTTAATGGGAAAAAACAAATTAAAATAGCAGCACAGAAAACAATACAATCGCAATTGCAATGCTGTTGATAGAATTTAAAGTCGACGCGCATGAATGTGTGTGTGTACATGTGTACGGAAATTCTCGGAATTTGTGCTAGCTGTAGTTAACACGTGCGCACATAACCTTTGTGTTTCTTAACCGATCTTAACGAATTTTTCGACAGTACATCTTATTGTAGAATAGAATATAGAATATTTGTGCATTTCAAAAAGTCAATTGCATATAAATTGTTGCTTAAATTGATGGGCTATACAACTTGGATTATTAACTTGATTTATAGCTTTGTGGTGGTAGCGGGGAGTTGGCGATAGGTATAAAATGAAAGATACTTCATATCTATATACTATTCTAGAAGCTACATGTCAAGTTTGGTGTCTCTCGCTCTTATTATTTACCAAAATCATTTTTATCGATTACTTGGAAACGGGGCAAGTTATCGAATATCGGAAACAAACTTGATCTGCGCGGGAACTAGGAGGACCTACAACTAAAATTTCAATTTTCTCTAGCTCTTATAGGTTCTGAGATCCTTGCGTTCATACATACGGACGGACGGACAGACGGACATGGCTGATCAAGAATATATATACTTTATGGGGTCGGAGAGGCTTCCCTATGCCTGTTACATACATTTGCACAAATATATTATACCCTTTTTACCCATTTTCAATGGTTTCAGGGTATAAAAAAAAAGCACAAAGCACTTCAATTGTAATAACTCTCGTTTATTTAATCCAGAACACTGGCCCTGCTGCACCGTCAATTCTTGACTACCTATAATGACCTCGCGGTCACTTCGCGATTCCTTTTCTATGTCTTTTCGTCGTTGCGCTCACACGTCCAGTACTTACGCTCGCCAAATCAAAAGTCAAGCTGCTGATCAGCATCGCCGTCTTACGACCCTTTTCGCCCATTTCGCCGTGCGGCGAAAACTTTCTTCTTAAGCCTATTCGCTCCTCCGCTCCTCCCGTTTACATTTTTAGGAGTCAGAGTTGCCTATGATTATATTTAATTCGTAATCGGTCTCTCTTAACTTAAATCCTCTTCTCTTATTCTCTTAAATGATTGGTTTTGATCTATTTTAGACTCCAATAATAATTCCATTAGTTTGACATCTGAACAGGCCCAAAAGTCTATAATATAATAGTTCCGCTTTACATTCGCGTAGGTTAGGCGGTATGGCTACTGCCCTTGTAATTGTGACCTCGCGTCACAATGGTTTAAGCCCGGTGCTAGCTAACAAGTACAGCTTGACATTAGCTGTAAAGGCCATGACGCAAAATAGCGCAATTGATAAAGCAAAACTTATCATGCAGGCAGGCACATTTAACAACATGAATGATGCCATTTCAAAATTTGTCAACAGTGGTACGGAAGCAACAGGACAGGCAAATTCGGTATTGTATTTCCGTCATGAACAATTTGGAAATAATAGAGGTAACCGTGGAAAGGGTAATAACCACAATAATGGTTACCGCAACTACAATAACTACAATAGAGGAAATTTCAGAGGAAGTTCCCGTGGTTACAACCGAGAAAGGAATAATTCCAACCGCGGTAACAAGCAAAGTAATAATAGTAATGGAAACGATCGAATTACTCAAGGTAATTCGGAAAACCAACAAGGCCCTTCATATATTCAAAACCATTAAATAAAACTGTACACACAATTAATCTTAACTTAAGCACATTTATAAAAATTAATAATGAAATTACAGGTAAAACATGTACCTTGTTATTCGATATTGGTGCAGACATGTCAATATTAAAAGAAAATGTCGATACGTTCGTAAATATAAATGAGAACGTAACGAGACAAATATCTGGAATCGGTGAAGGTTCATTTTTTTCAAAAGGTTTAGCATTCGTAGAGCTCACAACAGGTAACTACATTATTCCGCATGACTTCCATTTAGTCGAAAACAATTTTCCAATTCTAGTGATGGCATAATAGGCATACACTTCATAAAAAAATACAATTGTCAATTAGATTTCACACGAGCCTGTGATTTTTCAATACTTCGTCCGAACAACTTAAATTATCCGATTAAATTACCAAAAGTTCACACTTGTGACAATAATGCCACAATACTACCAGCACGTTCCGAAGTTGTCCGTAAATAAAAATATCTTCCATATAAAATCATGTTTTCATTCCAAACCAAGAAAGGATGAAGGAATATTCATTGGAAACACAATTTCGAATAACCAAGATACAGTTGTCCGAATATTAAATACAACAAATTCAGTTAAAATAGTCAATCTATAGCTAATTAAATATGAAACTCTAAATGACTGTGAAATAGTCAACGAAATTAACGAAGAAAGACAAAATACTGTCATGAAAAAACTTGTTAAGAACTTTCCACCATTATTTAAAACAAAGCTAAAAGAGCTATGCACCAAGTACACAGACGTATTCGGATTAGAAACCGAATCAATAACAACAAATAATTTTTAAAAGCAAGAGTTAAGACTAAAAGATAAAGATCCAATGTACATTAAAAATTACAGAATATCTTATGAGTACATAAGGAAAAAGTAACAAAACAAGTCGAAAAACTCATTCTAGATAAAATAGTAGAACCTTCTGTATCAGAATATAATATTGGTGTTGGAAGAAGAGGTTTCAGGGTATCCTCTAGTCGGGAGCTCCCGACTAGAACCTCTTACTTGTTTTTGTTGCATTCTTTGTCGAGCAAGAGTCACTTAGTTTCAGCAACTCTTCACTTAGCAGCGAAACGACCCCAGCAGCACATATCACGGTGATCAACCCTAACCCTAGCCGCGGCGGAGAGCTCATTGCGGATCTCTTCCCCTTTCCTAAAACATTAATCAATCTATGGCGGAGCGATCCCTACAGCTCTCTACCCCCCTTTCAGCTTCACGTCTCGGCGAACTACAAATTTCTTGTAGAGTGGACTCGGTACGACTGAGTTTTATTACCCCGGCTAAGAAGCTACTTTACAAGTGGCGCCCGAGCAGGAACCCTAGGTGTGAAGGGGCGGGGCATTAACGTGGCCTTAAAGCCCACGAAAGTGCCGCCAGAGTGAATTTAGGGCCTAAAAGGCAGCGTTAACTGAAGAGTTAGCTGCCTGAAGCGTAGGAAAAGGGAACATCAAAGTCCCACTGGGGTGTCAGCAGCAAGCGCACACGTGCAGCCCGACAAGTGGTGACAGGACGAAAATAGCAAAGAAGAGACTCGAAATCTAACGGACGGCCATAAAATTTCTCGGCGATAGGTATAAAATGAAAGATACTTCATATATATATACTATTCTAGAAGCTACATGTCAAGTTTGGTGACTCTAGCTCTTATTATTTACCAAAATCATTTTTATCGATTACTTGGAAACGGGGCAAGTTATCGAATATCGGAAACAAACTTGATCTGCGCGGGAACTAGGAGGACCTACAACTAAAATTTCAATTTTCTCTAGCTCTTATAGGTTCTGAGATCCTTGCGTTCATACATACGGACGGACGGACAGACGGACATGGCTGATCAAGAATATATATACTTTATGGGGTCGGAGAGGCTTCCCTATGCCTGTTACATACATTTGCACAAATATATTATACCCTTTTTACCCATTTTCAATGGTTTCAGGGTATAAAAAAAAAGCACAAAGCACTTCAATTGTAATAACTCTCGTTTATTTAATCCAGAACACTGGCCCTGCTGCACCGTCAATTCTTGACTACCTATAATGACCTCGCGGTCACTTCGCGATTCCTTTTCTATGTCTTTTCGTCGTTGCGCTCACACGTCCAGTACTTACGCTCGCCAAATCAAAAGTGAAGCTGCTGATCAGCATCGCCGTCTTACGACCCTTTTCGCCCATTTCGCCGTGCGGCGAAAACTTTCTTCTTAAGCCTATTCGCTCCTCCGCTCCTCCCGTTTACATTTTTAGGAGTCAGAGTTGCCTATGATTATATTTAATTCGTAATCGGTCTCTCTTAACTTAAATCCTCTTCTCTTATTCTCTTAAATGATTGGTTTTGATCTATTTTAGACTCCAATAATAATTCCATTAGTTTGACATCTGAACAGGCCCAAAAGTCTATAATATAATAGTTCCGCTTTACATTCGCGTAGGTTAGGCGGTATGGCTACTGCCCTTGTAATTGTGACCTCGCGTCACAATGGTTTAAGCCCGGTGCTAGCTAACAAGTACAGCTTGACATTAGCTGTAAAGGCCATGACGCAAAATAGCGCAATTGATAAAGCAAAACTTATCATGCAGGCAGGCACATTTAACAACATGAATGATGCCATTTCAAAATTTGTCAACAGTGGTACGGAAGCAACAGGACAGGCAAATTCGGTATTGTATTTCCGTCATGAACAATTTGGAAATAATAGAGGTAACCGTGGAAAGGGTAATAACCACAATAATGGTTACCGCAACTACAATAACTACAATAGAGGAAATTTCAGAGGAAGTTCCCGTGGTTACAACCGAGAAAGGAATAATTCCAACCGCGGTAACAAGCAAAGTAATAATAGTAATGGAAACGATCGAATTACTCAAGGTAATTCGGAAAACCAACAAGGCCCTTCATATATTCAAAACCATTAAATAAAACTGTACACACAATTAATCTTAACTTAAGCACATTTATAAAAATTAATAATGAAATTACAGGTAAAACATGTACCTTGTTATTCGATACTGGTGCAGACATGTCAATATTAAAAGAAAATGTCGATACGTTCGTAAATATAAATGAGAACGTAACGAGACATATATCTGGAATTGGTGTAGGTTCAGTTTTTTCAAAAGGTTTAGCATTCGTAGAGCTCACAACAGGTAACTACATTATTCCGCATGACTTCCATTTAGTCGAAAACAATTTTCCAATTCTAGTGATGGCATAATAGGCATACACTTCATAAAAAAATACAATTGTCAATTAGATTTCACACGAGCCTGTGATTTTTCAATACTTCGTCCGAACAACTTAAATTATCCGATTAAATTACCAAAAGTTCACACTTGTGACAATAATGCCACAATACTACCAGCACGTTCCGAAGTTGTCCGTAAATAAAAATATCTTCCATATAAAATCATGTTTTCATTCCAAACCAAGAAAGGATGAAGGAATATTCATTGGAAACACAATTTCGAATAACCAAGATACAGTTGTCCGAATATTAAATACAACAAATACAGTTAAAATAGTCAATCTATAGCTAATTAAATATGAAACTCTAAATGACTGTGAAATAGTCAACGAAATTAACGAAGAAAGACAAAATACTGTCATGAAAAAACTTGTTAAGAACTTTCCACCATTATTTAAAACAAAGCTAAAAGAGCTATGCACCAAGTACACAGACGTATTCGGATTAGAAACCGAATCAATAACAACAAATAATTTTTAAAAGCAAGAGTTAAGACTAAAAGATAAAGATCCAATGTACATTAAAAATTACAGAATATCTTATGAGTACATAAGGAAAAATTAACAAAACAAGTCGAAAAACTCATTCTAGATAAAATAGTAGAACCTTCTGTATCAGAATATAATATTGGTGTTGGAAGAAGAGGTTTCAGGGTATCCTCTAGTCGGGAGCTCCCGACTAGAACCTCTTACTTGTTTTTGTTGCATTCTTTGTCGAGCAAGAGTCACTTAGTTTCAGCAACTCTTCACTTAGCAGCGAAACGACCCCAGCAGCACATATCACGGTGATCAACCCTAACCCTAGCCGCGGCGGAGAGCTCATTGCGGATCTCTTCCCCTTTCCTAAAACATTAATCAATCTATGGCGGAGCGATCCCTACAGCTCTCTACCCCCCTTTCAGCTTCACGTCTCGGCGAACTACAAATTTCTTGTAGAGTGGACTCGGTACGACTGAGTTTTATTACCCCGGCTAAGAAGCTACTTTACAAGTGGCGCCCGAGCAGGAACCCTAGGTGTGAAGGGGCGGGGCATTAACGTGGCCTTAAAGCCCACGAAAGTGCCGCCAGAGTGAATTTAGGGCCTAAAAGGCAGCGTTAACTGAAGAGTTAGCTGCCTGAAGCGTAGGAAAAGGGAACATCAAAGTCCCACTGGGGTGTCAGCAGCAAGCGCACACGTGCAGCCCGACAAGTGGTGACAGGACGAAAATAGCAAAGAAGAGACTCGAAATCTAACGGACGGCCATAAAATTTCTCGGCGATAGGTATAAAATGAAAGATACTTCATATATATATACTATTCTAGAAGCTACATGTCAAGTTTGGTGACTCTAGCTCTTATTATTTACCAAAATCATTTTTATCGATTACTTGGAAACGGGGCAAGTTATCGAATATCGGAAACAAACTTGATCTGCGCGGGAACTAGGAGGACCTACAACTAGAATTTCAATTTTCTTTAGCTCTTATAGGTTCTGAGATCCTTGCGTTCATACATATGGACGGACGGACAGACGGACATGGCTGATCAAGAATATATATACTTTACGGGGTCGGAGAGGCTTCCCTATGCCTGTTACATACATTTGCACAAATATATTATACCCTTTTTACCCATTTTCAATGGTTTCAGGGTATAAAAAAAAAGCACAAAGCACTTCAATTGTAATAACTCTCGTTTATTTAATCCAGAACACTGGCCCTGCTGCACCGTCAATTCTTGACTACCTATAATGACCTCGCGGTCACTTCGCGATTCCTTTTCTATGTCTTTTCGTCGTTGCGCTCACACGTCCAGTACTTACGCTCGCCAAATCAAAAGTGAAGCTGCTGATCAGCATCGCCGTCTTACGACCCTTTTCGCCCATTTCGCCGTGCGGCGAAAACTTTCTTCTTAAGCCTATTCGCTCCTCCGCTCCTCCCGTTTACATTTTTAGGAGTCAGAGTTGCCTATGATTATATTTAATTCGTAATCGGTCTCTCTTAACTTAAATCCTCTTCTCTTATTCTCTTAAATGATTGGTTTGATCTATTTTAGACTCCAATAATAATTCCATTAGTTTGACATCTGAACAGGCCCAAAAGTCTATAATATAATAGTTCCGCTTTACATTCACGTAGGTTAGGCGGTATGGCTACTGCCCTTGTAATTGTGACCTCGCGTCACAATGGTTTAAGCCCGGTGCTAGCTAACAAGTACAGCTTGACATTAGCTGTAAAGGCCATGACGCAAAATAGCGCAATTGATAAAGCAAAACTTATCATGCAGGCAGGCACATTTAACAACATGAATGATGCCATTTCAAAATTTGTCAACAGTGGTACGGAAGCAACAGGACAGGCAAATTCGGTATTGTATTTCCGTCATGAACAATTTGGAAATAATAGAGGTAACCGTGGAAAGGGTAATAACCACAATAATGGTTACCGCAACTACAATAACTACAATAGAGGAAATTTCAGAGGAAGTTCCCGTGGTTACAACCGAGAAAGGAATAATTCCAACCGCGGTAACAAGCAAAGTAATAATAGTAATGGAAACGATCGAATTACTCAAGGTAATTCGGAAAACCAACAAGGCCCTTCATATATTCAAAACCATTAAATAAAACTGTACACACAATTAATCTTAACTTAAGCACATTTATAAAAATTAATAATGAAATTACAGGTAAAACATGTACCTTGTTATTCGATACTGGTGCAGACATGTCAATATTAAAAGAAAATGTCGATACGTTCGTAAATATAAATGAGAACGTAACGAGACATATATCTGGAATTGGTGTAGGTTCAGTTTTTTCAAAAGGTTTAGCATTCGTAGAGCTCACAACAGGTAACTACATTATTCCGCATGACTTCCATTTAGTCGAAAACAATTTTCCAATTCTAGTGATGGCATAATAGGCATACACTTCATAAAAAAATACAATTGTCAATTAACAACAACAACTTAAATTATCCGATTAAATTACCAATAAGTTCACACTTGTGACAATAATGCCACAATACTACCAGCACGTTCCGAAGTTGTCCGTAAATAAAGATATCTTCCATATAAAATCATATTTTCATTCCAAACCAAGAAAGGATGAAGGAATTTTCATTGGAAACCCAATTTCGAATAACCAAGATACAGTTGTCCGAATATTAAATACAACAAATTCAGTTAAAATAGTCAATCTATAGCAAATAAAATATGAAACTCTAAATGACTACGAAATAGTCAACAAAATTACCGAAGAAAGACAAAATACTGTCATGAAAAAACTTGTTAAGAACTTTCCACCATTATTTAAAACAAAGCTAAAAGAGCTATGCACCAAGTACACAGACGTATTCTGATTAGAAACCGAATCAATAACAACAAATAATTTTTAAAAGCAAGAGTTAAGACTAAAAGATAAAGATCCAGTGTACATTAAAAATTACAGAATATCTTATGAGTACATAAGGAAGAAGTAACAAAACAAGTCGAAAAACTCATTCTAGATAAAATAGTAGAACCTTCTGTATCAGAATATAATAGTCCGATACTTCTTGTACAAAAGAAAGGTCTACCAGGGTCCGATACTAAGAGATGGCGGTTAGTTATAGACTATCGTCAAATCAACAAAAAGCTCTTGTCCGCTTCCAAGAATATATGATATTCTTGACCAACTAGGCAGAGCAAAATACTTCTCATATTTAGATTAAATGTCCGGTTTTCACCAAATAGAATTAAAAGAAGGGTCCAGAAACATAACGTCTTTTTCAACGAGCAATGGCTCATATCTTTTTACACGATTACGCTTACGCTTACGGCTTAAGAATAGCGACAAATTCTTTCCAAAGAATGATGACAATCGCTTTTTCAGGATTAGATCCTTCACAAGCATTCTTGTATATGGATGACTTAATAGTCATCGGTTGTTCCGAAAACCGTATGATCAAAAATTTAACAAATGTTTTTGATTTATGCAGGACACAACCTTAAATTACATCCAGAAAAATGCTCTTTCTTCATGCAGGAAGTGACTTTTCTAGGTCATAAGTGTACTGATCAAGGTATTTTACCAGATGACAAAAAATATGACGTCCCTACGGACGCTAATAGCGCTAGACGATTCGTTGCATTTTGCAATTATTACAGACGTTTCATCAAAAATGTTGCCGACTATTCACGTCACATAATAAGAATTTGCAAAAAGAATGTAAAGTTTGAATGGACTAATGAATGTCAAACAGCATTCGAATATCTAAAGAAAGCTCTAATGAAGCCAACTTTACTAAAGTATCCCGATTTTAGCAAAGAATTTTGCATAATAACGGATGCAAGTAAACAAGCT